AGCCAAGGACCCATCAAGGAAAGCGGTTATATTCTGAATGGCTACTACTGTATATTTTTTGTCAAAGTAATTGAGAGCCATTCTAGGTCCAAAGAGACACTCCTGGTTCTGGGAGTTTACAGGCAACATTTAACCTAATATGATGATTAAGTTTGTGGTTTTAAATTGAAAGACTATAAACACATTCAGACGCCATCTATTCAAAGCTACTCATTCCCCTGAAATGTTAGCATAGATCCTGTATTTCAGAATATCTGCCTTTTTTCCCTTTTTTTTTTAACTTGGTTTAATTTTCAATTTAAATCAAATAATTGTGTTTTTTTTCTATCAAAAAGATGTTCTTCCTCACTTGAATGTTTTTCTGATAATGGAAACGCTGATAACTTTAATCTTCAGAGAAGCATCATTACTTCCTCTTATATTCACAGAGCTGCAGAGATATTTTGGTCCTAACACCCTAAATACCCTCCACTATGTGCAAAGGCAAAGCTGTGTGACCGAAATGTCTGCTGGTGTCTAATATGGCAGCCCCCATTAACCCCAATGGCGTGATAACTTTACTCCTCCCAACTCAACAAACCCACAGTGAGCTGTGACACCCTTCGAGTTGCGGGTTTCATTTCCTGTCCTCGGTGTACAAATACTTGTGTCACTTCCTGACATGTTTGCATGACATCAAGGCGTGTGATACTTCCTGCAGCTCTAGGTTCAGGGTTGTTTGTGGGTGGTTAGACAAAAGTCATGGGAAGAGTGAGCGATCAAAAGGAAAATCCGCCTCTATGATACCTGAGGACAGAAAAGATTTCCCCTAAAATGACATGGAAGGTTTTATAAAACGACATGCGTGACAGTTTGTGATTAGTTTTTCTGTTTCTCTGCATCAGGTTTGAAAAGGGGCGGATCTACACCTACATCGGGGAAGTGGTGGTGTCCGTTAACCCATACAGACAGATGGACATTTACGGCAAAGAAGCCATCGATGCGTACCGAGGCCGAGAGCTGTATGAAAACCCTCCTCACCTGTATGCGGTGTCCGACGCTGCCTACAAAGCCATGAAAAGACGAGCTAAAGACACCTGCATCGTCATCTCAGGTCTTCCTCTGCACAGTTCACATGCTGCACCATCCATCACCAGAATGTCCCACAAAAGGTCACTAAATAGTCAGAGGGAAATCATATTTAAATGTCAAATCATTCTGGTTTAAACAGGTATATAAATGTCCTCTTTATCAGACCATATTGTCCCAAAATTTAGAAAATTTCTATATAAAAAAAAAAAAAAA